AGTAATATTGGTTATACTATTTAATATGTCGAATGCTGTTACTTTTTTTTATATTTTACTCTTTTTTTACCACATTGTTTATTGTTACGTTTATTAGTAATATTGGTTATACTATTTAATATATCGAATACTGTTACTTTTTTTTTACTTTTTACTCTTTTTTATTTTATAGTACATACTGGAGAGATTTAGACGTTTTGTCAATAAAGTTTAAAAAAACTACCTTTACTCTCCAGATAATAATATAAAAACTTTTTATTTCACACAGCGTTTCGCCATTGCAGCTTCATCAGGGCTAGTAGTACAAGAATAGTTATTTGTTTATTTAATCTGAAAAATAAAGGCCGTTTTTGTTTCTAACTTTTACATTTTAATTTTTATTGTTATACTTTTAGTATACTGATTGTTTTGCACTGATAGCTTAATATATGTATTTAAAACTAACCTAACTCTCCTAAGCTGCCCGAAACTCGTGCAATATTATTGGGATTATGGCCAAAAATATTGTTAACAGATAGAGTGCCCAACTGGTGAAACAATGCATTCTAATCTTTATAAATAAAAAAGTGTATGTAATTGGCATTACTTATTTCCAGGTTGATTTTTAGTTTCGCTCTAAGAACATAACTCGCTATGATCAGAATGTTAATTACCTAAGAAAACTCATTTAAAGCCACTAAAAAGAAGTGATTCAGAAGTCTTTCCCCGTGTTCCTCGACGATTAATATTCACGCGCACACACAAACATATATATATATATATCAATAATGCATGTTTTCCTTACCCCACGGACGCACTAACCAAATTAACCGAACCAGTTGTGTTCTACACTGTATGACTAAGTAGATAATGCTACTTAGTTTGCCATTATAATACCCAATAGCTAATACAATCCCAGGTACTTACTGCCTATAAAGTTGTTATAGGGTTATCTATGGAAATCTGTCTTGATTCATTTGTTTAGTGCTGTATATATCTCACTTTTATAGCATAAAATAGGTGAATTTAATCATGAAACTTCAGAGAAATTATAGTTGCCCCTTTTATATTAATAAATTATCTTTTTTTGTTTTTTTAATTGATAAAAAAATTCAAATCCGTGCAGTTTAAATGTCTATAAAGACTTTGATCTAACCAGATGTGTACTTAGATATACTGCTAATATTCGATGGTGAATATCGTTACTTGACGTTTTAAAGTCAAAGTATATCTAACTTGGAATATACTGTGGAATTCAAAGCTGCAATATTAAATCAAATGCATATTTACCAATTACCTATAAGCTACAAAGTATCGTACTCTTTCATTTCTTTTAACATTCTGAGCCAACCAGCTTGCTATCGTAGTGTTGCTCTAGGATACTGGGTGTAGAATGAAGGCAGTAGCGACCTGTCTCAGGCCTGTCTCTCCTAGGAACCCCCCCCCCCTCTTAAAAGACTGGTCATTTTCAACCCTGTAATTTTTACTTCGTAAGTTCACCCGACGAAAGCCAGGTTTGAAGATGGGAAGGTGGAATACGTTGCTTAGGGGGGGGGGGCAGGAGATGTAAGAAAAAAAAAGGTCACACTTGGACACACACATATAAAAAACACACACCTAGGTTCCAATATTATGCTGTTATAAAAGAAGATAATGAATTGTGAATTATCATACCTCACTCTTTGTTCACGAAGGCAAGCTTATGAAGATTTAACTGATTCCGGAACATGAGAGTTATGGTTAGCATGTACTTCTGAAGTATCTGCTTATGGTCCACTGGGCTAATTGGGAGTTGCTTACTTTAGTGTGTATGACGTAATGTACTTCTATGAACTATGGAACCAGAGTGACTCATTCCTCTAATATATTTTTCTTCTTCTTCTTCCAAGCGTTATGAAACTTGTTATATCTTTTGAAGTATACATCTTTGGTTTCGACTCTTTAAACCGTGTAGTACAGTATGCTGCATTTTTACGTATATGCTTACGATTCAGATTATGACGATGTGATGTTAACAGTTTTCACTGATACTCTAATTTTATGTCAAAAGTCAGAAGCTTTCGTGTATATAATCTCTACATTTATTAAAACCATATTTCTACAAATTTTTAAAAGAATGCGATAAAGCCATTGTCCCTTTATTTTGGGTCAACCTATATGTAAAATTTTGAAAAATAGTGGAAATATATCTATAAAGGACTGGCGCTTACAATAGCAGTCTTTTTCAATGTTTGTTTTGTTCTCACGTCAACTAACTCTTTGCTTGACTTCACAATATCAGTTTAAACACTGTAGGTTTTCTTCTTTTAATTAAACACGTGTTTAGCATGTAATTTTTACCTTTGTTTTGGGATATTTCTAAGCGTAGCCGAACTCGTTTTATCTCTCTTTTTTTTTCCATTTTACGTCGAGCAGTCACCAAAATAAGGTTATTTTTGTGAAATAAATTAAATGTGAGCTATGTCAGTCACGTGCAAGAGAAAAATGTTTTCGCTTGTTATGTAACGATTTCATATAATTCATGTGTCAGTTCAAACGTTACAAACACATGTGAACAAACCCAAAGTTAAAACAATGCTTGTTTTTCGTTTCCGTTTGTCTGTCTGTCCACGATATGTCTTGCAAATTAATGGATCAGCAAATGTTTTTGTGTCCTAAAGATGACTGTTTTTATGAAAGGTCAAAGCTACAAATATTACATTACGCATAAATCATGCTTTCATCATTGCTCCCATTACACCTGTAATAACAAAAAGCAAATTATCACACTTTATTGGAGTATAACAATATCTGACGAGGATTTTAACTGCGTATCATAAGTTAGAGAGAAAAAAAATTAACTCCAGAAAAAACAACAACATTTTATTATTTTCTGTGGGCGTGTCGTCGCTACCATCGAGATTTGCAACGTATTGACACGTGTATGATTCTCTGCAGCAAGATAAGGAGATATTTCTCTCTTTGTGAATGCGGTTATATTAATACTGTTTATATATTAGATATAACGTGCTTGCCACACCAGATAAGACGAAAATTATTGAGCACTCTGTAAATACTGTTGTATTATATTGATTTTCTTTTGAACGTTGCTGTGAAATAACGGACATATAAACAACAAAGTAGATAAGGTTTTGGTTTTTGATAAACACAAAACTACACGATGGGCTATCTGTACTCTGCCCACCACGGGTATCGAATCCCGGTTTTTAACGTTGGAAGTCCGCAGACATACCGTTGTGCCACTGGGGGGGGGGGCAAATAAGAGGCCTTTGCGTATGAAGAATGTATTTTATATACATCTATATGTGTGTATATGTTCTAAAGGTGGAGGAGCTAAGCCGGTAAAGTGAGGACTTCCACAAACGCATAAATCTACATCCATTCTAGCAACTTACATGTATATGTGTGTGTGTGTATCGTTTTCGATGTACACGTTGCTTATTTTTTGTCTGCCACACATAGTCCCAGTCCTGCTTGGTGAAGGAAGCCATGATAGGTGGGACTGACTGGTTCCAGCTTATCTTTGGAACGATCGCATGATGGGTGCCACAACAGTTGTTCCAGAAGGGTGCGGTAGAAAGGTTCGATCACGATACCCGGAGGACAGCTCCGTGGTCACGACTTCTGCAAGAACTAATTATTCCTCCAACCACTGGGTACCCTACCTTTCGGTTGTCACCATTCTGCCATGATAAATTTTCATGTGCTTTTCTTTAGGTCCCCCCTTTTCCTCCCGCTTCCCTGTCTACCTTTTGGCATCCTTAGCCAATAAACGGTTAATTTTATGTTGAAGAGATACATGCCCCCTGTGGATTACTCGTTGCTTCATTCATGGCTGATCTGAATAATGGTAATATACTGTAAAGCCCACTGATCTTATCTATAACACTAATAAGCAGCCTTTGCCTTTTCGGTATAATCTCACATTTAACTAATCACACTGGTTGAATATCTTCCCTTCAAGAATATATTTATTTTCGAAATCAAAGTACACATGTATATGTACATTAGAAAACGTCGGACACTGTCGGATTTACTTTCTCTCCCAATTTTCTCGTTCCGTTTAATAGTAGCCGTAATCCATCACCATCAACTTGTAAACATTTCTATAAAAGTGGAGTTCTTTTTTGACAGGGCGTGATAGAACAAAGTAAACTGTAACCTGATTGAGTGTTAAAATTAATGGCACTAATAAAGACAAGACTTATTTGATTGGAAAGTTAAATAGAAATATAACATGAATAACATTAGTCTGAACGTAACTGCCACAGAACCAGACAGCGTATAACGCCTTCACTTTTTAAAACGGTTCTCTTTGTAAGACAGTAAACTCATAACTTCTAATGGATTCAAACACGAGTAGCTCCACCTTCTTTTTCTTTTCTTTTTTACTAAAAGAGTTACTTGTGTATGTGAGCTAATAACAGACAAATAAAATTATTTTTCTCAAGACAAAAACAAGGTTACTTAGTGACCATCTAGCGTCAAACCTTTATCTCACCATTTTTACTAATTAGTTTCTCTGGGTTAGTCATGGTTTCTAGATTGAAATATAAAGAACACTATTGGAGAAATAAAAACTTATAAACAGACAGGCCGAGTGAATTACAGAACAAAAATCACCAATACATATTAATTTATCAAAGTTTTCAAAAGGCATAAGACACGTGTATTATCGTCATAACAAATGAATGAAATAAATGCAGTGTTTTCGCGCCAAAGTTTGATTTGCTTTGAAAAATCTGTGAATTAAATATGGAAAAAATATATATACAAGGAAAACCGTTGACCTATTCTGTTTAATTAATAGTTTTTTTTAAGATACGAAAGTAAATTCTTTTTATGAGTGTTTCTTTTCATCTTTTATTTTACAGATAATTGACGTTAAAAAAAGTACGTTTCATATGACATAAGATTATAGTATCCTCTTCTTATATTACCACTTTTGGTTTATGTAATATAGTTCAGCGAAAAGAAAAATACAATAGTAGTAACTCTGTACTTTTTTTCTTTTTTTGCAGCACTGGATAAAATGGGTTTCCGTCATATTTATAATTGCCACCAAGTGGAGGTAGTCCAGCCGAGCGTTGCTTTCGATATAGCATCATTGATGTTATATGGAACTCAAGCGATCCCAATCCGGTTGAAAATTCCTCTCGACCGACTGTTTAGTGTACTGCAACACGAAGAAGTCCTGCACGTGTTACATGGATTTGGCTGGAATTATGAAGATTATGCTCGTGGTTACATTCTCCAGGTAAGTTTTCCGCTTTCTTTAAGTCCTCTGTCTTGTTAATTTTTTTTGTTTTATTGCTGGCCGTTCCTGTAAATTTTATATTTTGTTACGCTTACCTGGTTAATATTTCCATTAAAGCTTCTGTTTTGTTACATTAAACATATTAGAGTTTCCTTTAAATATTTAATCTTGTTACATTCTCATGTAAGAGTTTTCTCTGATCCTCTATTTTTTTACGTTTCTTGGTTTAGTATTTTCTTAAATCTTTCCAGATTAGTGTTTCCTTTAATCTTCTATTTCATTTCTAGATTGGGAAATGTAAAAATGAAGACGAACTCTAGCCTGAAAAGTGTAACAAAACAGAAGGTTTAAAGGAAAGATCTAATATGACAAATTTAACAGAACAAAAAAAAATTGAGGAAATTATAGCCTGTGAACTATAGTGAGACAGAAAATTTAAAGAAACCTCTATTCTGAGAAATATAAAAACAGAAGATTTATAGGAAATCCTAATCTTAAGAATTAAAGGAGGTTCTATCCTGGAAAATATAACAAAGGAGAAAATTTAAAGAAAACTGTACGCAGAGAAATGTAACAACACAGAAGACTTAAAGGAAAATCTAACTTGTAAAATGTAACAAAATAAAAATTCAAATGAAATTCGAATCTGGGAAAAGAAATGAAACAAAAAAGTTAAAGGAAACGCTAATCTGAAAATGTAATAAACAGAAAACGTAAAGGAAGTTCTAAATCTGGGAAGTTGAAAAAACAACAAAAAGTGTAAAGAAATTCTATCTTTGAAAATAGCAAAACAGATAATATAAAAAAAGCCTGTAAGTTAAAAAATGTGATAAATGGAAAACGTAATAAAACCTAATCTGATAAATATAACAAAAGAAAAGATTTAAAGAAATTCTAACCTTAAAAATATCAAAACAGAAAATTTAAAGGAATTTCTAAATATGAAAATATAATAAATAGAAAATTTGAAGGAAACTTTAATCCGAGAAATGTAACAACACAGAAGATTTATTGGATCTGTAACCTGAGAAATGTAACAACACAGAAGACTTAAATGGAACTCTAATCTGAGAAATATAACAACATAGAAGATTTAATGGAACTGTAATCTGGGAAATGTAATAACACAGAAGATTTACTGGAACTGTAATCTAGGAAATATAACAACATAGAAGATTTCATGGAACTCTAATCTGAAATACGTAACAACACTAAAGATTTAATGGAACTTGAAAAGTGTAACAAAGCAGAAGGTTTAAAGGAAGCTCTAACTGGGCAAATGCGGCAAAAACATAAAAAGATTTATAGGAGACTGGAAAATATATAAAAAAACAACAACAACAGAAGATTTGATATTTTTCATTTGGTTTCTTGTGTATTTGTTCCGTCAGAGTTATTCATTAAAATCACATTGTTAAAGACAAAGTAACAAAAGTTCTCAGGTCCATTTAACACTTATAAATGCTGGACACTTCTTGTGCCATTTTCGGTTCCAAGCTCGTATTTAAAACTAATAATGTGAAAATATCCAAAACGTAGGTTCAACAACTATAACACCAATGCTGGCTGAAAGATTGGAGGTTTTTGCAAGATACATACGGGGATTAATGTTATTCTTCATTAACTGCAAAAATTAGCCTATTTATAAGGTTAAAAACTGTTTAGTTCATAAAGTTATATTTATTATTATTCGGCATATACCATCGTTAAAACAAGTACTCGTAAATCATCAAAAGATCAGAATTTTAAAGAGAGCTTGGCCCTCTGGATATTAAAACAAAAAACAAAAACAAAAGTAGAGAGAGAGAGAGAATTTAAAGAAAACATTAAATAAAATATTTAATCAAAGTAAAGAATATAAATGAAAACACTAACCCGATAAATGTAATGAAACAGAGATGTGAAAGAAAAATGCTAATAAGGAGAATATAGTAAAGCAGTCGATTTAAAGGAAAACCCTCACTTGCGGATTGTAAAGAAACGTAACAATATAAATATAGCACTGACTGACAGAAAAAAAAACCTTCAGAATTTAACAAGACAAATAATTTCAAGGAAAACACGAACCTGGAAAATATAATAAAAAAATATGACTTAAAGAAAATTTTGATCTGAAAATTAACGAAATAGAATATTTAAGGGGAACTGTAATCTGAGAAATGTGACAAATCAAAAGGAAACTGTAATCCATATGAAATGTACCCTAGTGACTATAGCCACCAATAGCTATAATCCCCCCTACACCATATAAAATAAATCTGTTTTTTATCTAAAGGTTTATTTTAAAAGTACAAAAGTAATTACATAAGAACTGTAAAAAAAAAGTTGGGCCTAAAGAACCTATGAACGATTTGGATAACATGAGTACTTACTTCAGTTAAATAAACTCAAAATTAATTAACGTCCTACAGTTTTTTAACTTATATCCACAGATTTACAATATTTAAGTTAATGCGTATTAATGTGTTGGACCAAAAAAACAGGCCTATGAAAGATTTGGATAACACCGAGCACTTACTTCAACTAAATCAACCCAAAATTAATTAACGTCCCTACAGATTTTTGCCTAATATCTTCAACCTTACCACCTTTAATGTATGTTAACTTCCCAAAGTGTTGAACCGAAAAAGGGCTATGAAAGATCAGGCTAACACTAAGTATTTAGTTGAAATAAATCAACCCAAAATTAATTAACGTTATTACACATTATTGAAAGTCAAGTGACTGAGTTGACGCCAAAATTGTAAGATAACACCACACAAGTTCGAAAGTTTGCCCAAAAGTGATCAACTATATACCTATGTAAAATGCCTTCCAGTAACTCAACGGTAAGTCTCTGGGTTTATAACACTAAAATTCGGGTTTCGATACCCTTTGTGGGCACAGCACAAATAGCCCATTGTGTAGCTTTGTACTTAACAATAAATAGACATATAAACATGAAAAGCTATACATAATTTATCGATTAATCACATTTTGGCCAACAAACAAACAGAAACTCTAGGATATTGAAATAGCACAAATTTTCGATCCTTCCGCATGTTTTGATCGTGTGTTTTGTATGGTATAGTACTTAGTTTTCACATAGAAATATACATGGTGGTCTATTTGGTTTTTTTTTGCAAATTGATTCCTTGTTTTGAATTTCGTGAAGTTTATGGAATATTTGTAACCATATCATGTTGAAGTAATTCCATTAAGATAACAGTAGAATTATATAACAATTTTGGTCTATTTTAAATTTCCTGACGAACCAATCAAGTCAGGGAAAGACGTTGTTTTTGCCAATAGAAAATTATTAGATCATACTTCTCTAACAGTCCCCCCGAGGAGACAGCGGTAAGTCTATGGACTTACAACGCTAAAATCCAGGGTTCGATTCCTTGTGGTGGACACAGCAGATAGTCCAATGTGACTTTGCTCTAGAACAAACAAATGAACTTTCCTATCGTAACTGTTTCTAGTATTATCGTCTTTTTATCTTAGAATAATAGTCTCCTGGTGGACAGCGGAAAGTACGGACTTACAACGCTAAAATCCGAGGTTCGTTTACTTACGGTGGACACAGCAGATAGCCCAAAGTGGCTTTGCTTTAAAACTAACCCAAATCGATAAATATCTCATCTGTCGATTAATGATCTTTTAATTGCTGAGCAAGAAAGGATCTTTGTTTTTCTTTGATTTACCGCTAAAACCCATGAGACTAATGTTATTGATCTTTGTTTTTCTTTGATTTACTGTTAAAACTCATGCGACTAATGTTATTAATCTTTGATTTACTGTTAAAACCCATGCGACTAATGTTATTGATCTTTGTTTTTCTTTGATTTACTGTTAAACCCCATGAGACTAATGTTATTGATATTTGTTTTTCTTTGATTTACTGTTTGTTTGTTTTGAATTTCGCGCAAAGCTACACGAGGGCTATCTGCGCTAGCCGTCCCTAATTTAGCAGTGTAAGACTAGAGGGAAGGCAGCTAGTCATCACCACCCACCGCCAACTCTTGGGCTACTCTTTTACCAACGAATAGTGGGATTGACCGTCACATTATAACTCCCCACGGGTGAAAGGGCAAACTTGTTTGGTGGGACGAGGATGCGAACCCGCGACCCGCAAATTGCGAGTCGAGCGTCCTAACCACCTGGCCATGAAGGGCCTTGATTTACTGTTAAAACCCATGCGACTAATGTTATTGGTCTTTGATTTACTGTTAAAACCCATGCGACTAATCTTATTTATCTTTGTTTTTCTTTGATTTACTGTTAAAACCCATGCGACTAATGTTATTGGTCTTTGATTTACTGTTAAAACCCATGCGACTAATGTGATTGATCTTTGTTTCGATGTTTTCAATTTGGTTATTTCGGAACAAGTACATGAATTGTGCAAGACGCTTGTAGCTTGAGCAATATGTAAATAAGTATAATTTTTAACACCTTTAGTTCAACGCTAGTTGTCCGTTTTTAGTAGCCTGTTTTATACTTTTTTTTTATTTTTCTGTGGTGCAACCAACATCTTATAATTGTCTTCAGATGACGTATGGCAGTTTTATATTTAAGATTAATTGTGTGCTCGAGCATTCATACCAGCTTCTAAGTCTTGAACTGTGTTTTTAAGTTATGCTTTCAGTTTACACGAAAGGCTGTGAGTAGAGGTTATATATAAATTATATATTTAATATATTTGCTCATCCAGACACAAATCAAAAGTTCAAATATTCACCTATTTTCTCCTAATCATAGTCTTATTACGAAATGGCCATGATCTTTGACTCTTAAATGTTCTGCGTTCTTTACTCTAAAGATTGTAACCTGGAGTTTGATTACGACCTTCAAGACATATTGTACATGTACTTGTAGTTTTAGGAAAGACGTTAAAACCTGCTAGCTGTAACTATTCAAAAGTTACAGCTTTTGTTTCAAGACTAAGTAAATACTGGTCCACATTGTGCAGGGTTTTGAGGGGTGTATGACTTTAAAGTAAATGTGTTACAATACGT